AATCATTCATTTAGTGACCATTCAAAATGACCATGCCACTGAAAAAAACTGGCTTACCATCAGTCCTGATATTGTGATTGTTGTAGTGTCCCCATGACCACGTGATCAAAATTTGGGCACTTGGCAACTGGCATGTATTTGCAAAGGTTGCAGTGTCCCAGGGCCATTTGATTGACATCTGTAATTTTTTCCAGCCAGCGAAGTCAGAAGGAGGAAGCCAGATTTCCTTAACTACCATGTGACTTAACAAGGAGAGTTATTTGCTTAAGAACGATGGCAGAAATGGTGGTAAAACCGGGCCTTGCTTAGCAATAGAAATTCTGGTCCCAATTGTGTTTGTAAATAGCACTAGCAATTAGACTTATATACCACTTCACAGTGTTTTGCAGCCCTCTCTAAGCACTTTACAGAGTCAGCCTATTGTCCCCAACAATCCAGGTCCTCATTTTACCCACCTCGAAAGGATGGAAGGCTGAATCAACCTTGAGCCTGGTGAGATTTGAACTGCCAAATGGCAGGCAGCCGGCAGTCGGCAGAAGTAGCCTGCAGTACCGCACTCTAACCACTGAGCCACTACAGCTCTTGGAGGACTAAATGGAAGACTGTCTTTTGACACATCCAAACCAACAACTTCATATTGTTGCGCATAGAAGCAAATTATTTCAGGAACTGCAATGTTGGTATAACTTAGCTATAGATTTTGACTGCAACAGCGTTAAGGTCAGAAAGGCACGCAGTAATTCATTTCGTGGTGCATCAGCAGGTTACTCACAACTGGGTAATAGCCACAAGTGGTCAACAACCCAATTTGACAAAACACCCTCCCTCCTTTTGATTTGGACGGCTAAGAAAATAACTCTAAGTCTGCCGTTGTACGCACTTATTGCGGATAAACATAACTGAACACAGCGGGAGTTCTTGCTAAATGAACCTACATAGTCAGCAAGCAAGCCTCATATTTCAGTAGAAAATATCAGCAGGAAAAAACAACAACCCTCTAAGTTAAAAATTAGAAAGACACTGAAAGAGGGAAAGAAGCACTCATGGATCGTTCTCGGGGAAGATATTTATTCTTTGGTACACAATCATTTTGACCATTCCACTGAACCCAATAATTATGAATATTGTAAGTTTTCAGGAGTTATAGGCTATTTCGGAGTTCCGCATAGGGCAGATACAACATGTGCATGATTAGCTATTTAACTTCCGGCAAAACCAGCGTGCCAAATTCAGTTTTGGTGGTGAGAGAATTCAATGTCCTGGAGATGTGTTAGAAATATACCTAGGAAAGACCTGGGCATTTTATGTGAGGTCAATTGGAAATTAGAAATGAAATGCATGCCATACAACTGCATTGCTTTTATTTTGAAGCCAACCATTGTGTGTGTGTTTTTTTCCAATTTACATACGTGAATGCATTCATGCCTCTGCAGCTTCACAGCCCTATTGGTTCAGCCCTCCGGTTCCAGTTTGTTATGTGGGAAAATTAATTGCCCTGCCCTGTTGGAGAAATAAAACACTCTAGTCTCCAAACAGTTTCTCTCTCTCCTCAAATCAGATCTAGAATCTATGGGGATTCATTTCGTCCTGCTGAAACATACAGAATTGTTTTTTTTTTAAAATGGTCTAAATGACAGCGGAATTCCTTTGTTTACGGGTCAACGCTAGGAGACGGATAGTTAACAAAGAGCAGCAGAGTAAAACTTGAGTGTAACTTCGAGATCCAATAATTCTGAGATGTCAATTGTTTTCAGTATTCCTTGTGGATTCATGCCTAGATTCTTTTGCTAAGAAATAACTTCTATCTCTATAAGAATACCTTGGTCCCGAAATATATTGTGCAAAAAAGGTTAATATTTTCAGTAGTTTATCTAGGGAATAGCTGAATCCCCTGTAGAATTGCAGGAGAATTTTTCCAGACCACATCAAACTTACAATTATTCCAAACACAGCTATATGTTTTTAGAGGCATGCTGAAAATAACTTATGGTTAACTGCATATTCAGTAGCCTACTGCATCTCTTTCTTTACGTAAGCAACAGATGCACATAAAACTGACTTGTAGGCCCAGTATATATGCTAATATAATAGTATGAAATATTACTGAGTCTCATTGCAATTCTGTAATTAGATTTCAGACTGCAGAAAAAACTTACTGAATATTCATCAGAGATCAAATAACTAATGACACTGATTTTCATATAAGCAAGATTTTGAGTTCCACATGTATAGTATAAAAAAGACTTGAGTTTTAAAGATTTGTATTCTGCCTTTATTGTTTTTTATAAATAAGTCAAGGTGATGGATATATATATCCATCACCTTGACATACACACACACAGACACATGCACACACATTCATTCTTCCTCTTTGTTTTCCCTACGACAACAATCCTTTGAGAAGATGTGAGTTCAAAGACACCCAGCTGGCTTTCATGCATAAGGTAGGACTAGAATTCACAGTCTCCTGGTTTCCAGGCCAGCATCATAACCACTATACTAAATTTGATTTGTGGAATTGATTCAGGCCTATACAATTCTGAGCTGCATAGAATTTATGCAAAGAAGTATAACAAGGAACAAATTACCCTCTGCGCAATGGGCTGTTTAATGAAATGGACAAAGAATTGTTCAGAAGGAACATAAATTATCAGACTGATTATCCTGCTCAGATGCAATATAATTTCTTGCGTTATATTATTGTGTGCTTAATCATATTAATACGCCAACTGATTACTTCTAACTAAAATGCTGAGCTAGGCAGATTTTACTTCCAAGTAAGCATATGAAGGATTGGATGAGAAAGCTGAACCTTTATATCCAAAAGGCTTAATAGGTACAAAGTGGAACTTCTATTGATTTTTTCCCTTTCTTATTTATACTATTGGATTAGAGTTTCAACCCCTGCTTTACATTTTTATACTACTCCAACAGCTTCTAATTATAAGGCACCTAATATATAAAAATCAGTTAAAACATTAAGTAATGCTGTTAAGAGACAGTTTTAGAGAAGAATTAACTAAGACATAAGAGAAGAATTAAGGAGAATTGACCAGTAGAACAGCTTGCCTTCAGAAGTTATGGCAGGTCCAACACTGGAGGTTTTAAAGAAGAGATTGGATAACCATTTGTCTAAAATGGTATAGGGGGTTGGACTAGAAGACCTCCAAGGTCCCTTCCAGCTCTGTTTTGATTGATTGATTGAGACGTGGCTACTCTCTTGTAGGTTTCAAAAACAATATCTTTCTCAATTGAGCAGGTAGGAATTATTTTTTGGGTGTGGGGGAGGTATCATAAGGGATAAATCTATGTACAGCGATTTTGAGACGAGACTCTGGACGTGGTCCAGCTGCCAAATCATTCACCAAATCCCTCGAGAGAATTCACTGGAGCAAGACGCAAAAGAGATCCGCAGATCCTGACGTCTCAATGAACTTTCGTTCACTGCCTGTTAAGAGTCTTCGGCAGGGCAACTTTTATTAGCAGCCGCAAACTTTCTAGCATGTCATAGTTTCTCAGGATCTAATTTATACCTGAGAAAAAAAAAATAGATCAAATGCCTAGAAGCAGCCCTTAATAATTGGTGAAGTTAAATTAAAGTCCATGGCTATACTCTGCTTTTAATTTAAAAAAAAAAAGGATTTACTCAGTTGGATGTGAACTGTCTTCCCTACCTCCCCTTGTTATTTTTAATCACTTATAGCAGGTCTTCCGTAGGTTCTAAGACTGACAGCTCTGGGAAGTCGTTTTTTTTAAAGATATGGAATATTTCTGCAAACAAACCCTGTTTATGCAAGAAACTTCTCTATCGTTTGATCCCGGTCACCTTCCCTGCCAGAACACTTTTAATCCCTGTAGCTGGTCCAGGACAAGTTTACTTCAGCTTCTATTTTAACATGGACTATATAAACAAGTGTCCCACCCTTCTTATAGGGAAAATCCCTCCAGAAGAAAAAGGACCCTCGCAGCCCCAGTTTCCTTCTTTGACTTAGAAATGCGTCCACAGTTCACTCCAAAGATGCCTCACGGATACTGATACAGATAGTCCTCACCCTTACGACAACGGAGCCCAACATTCCTGTTGTTAACCGAGACATTTGTTAAGCACCTTTTGCCCCATTTTACAAACTTTCTTGCCACGGTTGCTAAGTGAATCACTAACAGTCGATAAGCTAAGTAGCCTGGTTGTTAAGCGAATCTGGCTTCCTCCCTGATATGGTTTGTCTGAAGGTCGCAAAAGGGGATCCCATGACCCCAGGACAGTGCAACCGTCATACATAGGAATCAGTTGTCAAGCATCTGAATTTTGACCCCATGAGCACAGGAGGGTCACAGCTGTGAAAAAAACAGGTGATTAAGTCACCTGTTTCGGTGCCCCTGTATTACCTTGAACGGTCACTAAACGAACTTTGGTAAGTTCTGGTACAACTTTATGCTAGCGGAATAAAACTCCCTCAACGCCTTAAGTTTGGTTTAGGCAGGCAAGAGCCACGGGGCGCTTGTTCAAGCGGTTCCCAGCGACCCACAGACGAGGAGGAGGTCCAGGGCTGTGTGTGTGTGCGTGCGTGCGTGCGTGTGTGTGTCTGTGCGCGTGTGTCTGTGTGCTTCGCCCTCCGGCGGTTGGCAACCACGACTCTTCCTCGCAGCAGCGCGCCGCTTTTAAAGCCGCGCGACCCACGGCGCGTGCAGCCGGCGCGAGCGAGAGGTTTTCTCTCCCCCCTCCCTCTATTTAATTGCGCACCTGCGACCGCCAGCCGGTCCGCAGCTCACGCGGCCCCCACCCCCACCCACCCCAAAGTCCCGTCTGGGCGCGCGCGCGCCTTCGCCCTGAGGGGAGCGAGAAGCCCCGCGAGAGCCGCACCTGTCAGCAGCCGCGCGCGCCTCGCTCTCCCAACCCCGCTCACCTGGACGCCAAACGGGACCCTCGCGCTGAGGGAAACGTCCGCCTGCCCGTCCCCCGCGCTCCCCACTTTCCGCGCGAGCCCTCCTCGGAAACTCACCTGCCGGCAGCGCTCGGAAGCTCCGCACCGTGTTGCCTTCACGGAGATGAAGCAGCCGGGACGTTCCGGGCGCTTCCGAATCCCGACTCCGACCGCTGTAGCGGACGTAAAGGCGCAGCATGTGTTCCGATACTTTGTCCCCGGCGGAGACCACCGGCGGCGGCGGCGGCGGCGGCGGGAAAGGCTGCTGCTGCTGCTCGGCCGCCACAGCTTCTGCCGCCGGGCTCCTGCGCCCGCCGACCCCTCGCCTTACGCTCCCTTTAGCGAAGCCGCCCGGGCGCTCTCCGGACCCTTCGGCCACCAGGCTGCAGCAGCTAAACCACAGGCACCCCCACCAGAGCAGCGCGCGCGGAGAGCCCGCCATGTCTCCCACCGCTGCCTTGGGGGGTGCCGGAGGTGGAGGTAGAGGAGGACTCGCTCCCTCAAGCCGCCCGTTCGAGTCCGGAGCGCGCGGGAGCCGAGCGCACAACCCAGCCTCGCCACTGCCACGGCCGCGGGTGGGGCGGGGTGGGTTTTGCGAGAAACCAGGGAGGGAGGGAGGGAAGGAGCTCTTCTGGCGGGCGTGTGTGAGTGGAAGGGCGGCTCTCAACCTGCCGGCGGGGCGAAGGGAGAAGCCGGCGCGAGCGCCACAGCGGGGAGACGCACGCGGGCGCGCGCGCAACAGCAGCAGCAGCTCCGGCAGGTTCCTTCGCCCCTGTCTCTCGAGTGGGGCAGGCTCAGCCCTGGGCTGAGTTTTGTACGGCGGGCGTGTGTGTGTGTGTGCGGGACTCGCAGCGCCCGCGAAGCGGCAGCCAATCGCCTCCTCCTCCTCCTCCTCCTCTTCTTCCTCCTCCTCCTTTCGGAGCCGAGCCGGCTGCGAAAGGGAAAGTCTCGCAGCGAAAAGGGAGGGGAAGGGGGGGGGTTGCGCCACCCTCAAAGCCAGCCCGCCCGCCCGCCCGCGATGCCAAGGCGATCCGCTGCCCCGGATTGCTGGATCGGTTGCGGAGGCGGGCGGAGAAGGTTTGGGAGAAGAACCGGACGAGCTTTGGCTGGCGAGGCGACCCCGCCACCCCGGGACAAGGTCCTGCTAAAAACGGGAGGGGCTGCGGGGAGGGCTGCTCGCTGCTGGGCGGCCCGACTGGTGCAATCGAATTGGGGAAGGGGAAACATCTGTCCATCCGGATGTTAGAAAGTGAGAGTTGGGGTCGGCGGGGGGGACACCCTCGAGTGAGCTGCTCCAGCCGAAGGTCTTGGCGCAGCGAGGGAACGGAAGGCGGCGCTGCTTGCTCGCTGTTCTTTTTCCTGGTTTTCCATGCCCTCCGTTCAAACGATCGTGCCGTTGGACACGACGGCCCTGTAAGGTAGGCCGGTGTCTTCAGACAGCCTGGTGAGGCTGATATCACATAGAAAGATCCCGAGAGAGGAAACACAGGAGCTTGCCTGGATTCAGTGGTGCATTAACCGTTAAGCAGACTAAGCCCGTGTGTAGGCCACCAGGTCCAAAGGGGGCAGCACAAAGTTTGGAAAGAAAAAAAAAACCCAATGAAGATTTGTAAAAAATCTTGTAAGTATAAAGGAGGGGGACACCAAGATTTGTCAGGGCTTAGGGCACCAGTCAGCCTTTATCCGCCACTGCCTGGATTGCGGCTTCACATTCGACCTTCTCGAATTTTGGATGAGGCTAGGAATTCAGGAAGTTGGAATCCCAACACGTCTAGAATATGGCTGTGAAAGCTGGACGGGTAATTTTAAGTAGCCCCCACTCTCCCTCATTCTCCTGTCAGCTGTCAACAGGCAAAATTAGGGAAAATACAGCTAGTTCTCCACTTACAATAGTTCACAGTGACTGTTCAGAGTTACGTCACTGAAAAAAGGGACTTATGAGTATATTTTTTCACACTTACAACCATTATAGCAGAAGACTCCAAGCTTGGCAACTTTAAGATTTGTGGACTTGAATCCTCCAGCCAGCTATGCCGAATTCTGGGAGTTGAAGTCCACAAGACTTAAAGTTGCTAAGTTTGGGGACCCTCTGCATCATAGTATCCCCATGATCATGTGATCAAAATCCAGGTGCTTGGCAACTGACTCATATTTATGACGGTTGCAGTGTCCTGGGGTCATGCGATCGCCTTTTGCAACCTCCTGACAGGTAAAGTCAATGAGGAAGCCAGATTCATTTAACAGTGTTCCTAACTTAGCAATGATTCACTTAACCGTGGTGAGAAAGATCGTAAAATGGGGGCAAAACTAACTTTAACAAATGTTTCACTTAGCAACAGAAATGTTGGGCTCAATTGTGGTCATAAGTCGAGGACTACCTGTAGTCCAGATTTGCTTAAACTGCTGCCCCTGGGCCAAGGCGTGACATTGGAATGTTATGGCCTTTTGGGTTTGCAAAGATGCTCAAATGGTAATGGATTTCAGCTCCTTTAGGTGGACTTTTAAGAATTAACACACTTTTCCTACACTTGGGAAGCAGATGCAATGCAGGTTATTAAAATTGGCATTTTTAAAAAAACCAATGGACAAATGGCAAGGTGGGTTTGCTGTAGGCCCAAGAAAGAACAGGATATTTTTAAGAAGATGGGACCTGTTCTAGATTTTCCCAAAGAAATACCTTCCAGGTGCTTTCGATTGCCTGCTTCCTGAATTTCCTACCTGCAGCCAGCACTGCCAAAGGGCATCCTGGGAATTTTAGTCCTAGTCTAGAGCAGCCCCCCCCCCCCCCAAAAAATCTTTCGGGCACCAGAGAACGGTTCCGTGGAGAGAGGTTTTTCCATGGACCAGAGAGGGCGTGGTTTTGCGTGCTGCCTGCATGTTAAAAAACACCCAACCTCAGAGAACATCAAGGACCCCACAGTTGGCAATCTCTCCGGCTTCCCACACTTCGTTCCACCCCAAAGAAAAACTCGAACAGAAACATTCACAAGGGCATGTTTAGGAGAGCTGACGCTTTCACTGCTAAGAGGAAAGAAATGGAGAAATTGATAGAGAACATCTGCTTTCCAATGAGAAATGCAGAGAATTCATCTACCCAATCTGATGGGGAATTTGATCCTCATTCTACAAGATCTGTGTTGAAATGTAGTTTAGAACAGTGGTTGCCGACTGGTGGGCTACGGCCCACTGATGGTCTGCGAGAAAATTTTGGTGGTCCGCAGAGAAATGTCATCCCCAGAGCACCCGCCAAAGCAATAAATCCAGGCTGCGCTGCCCACATGGCCCGCAGAAACCCTCCCCGCGCACTCACGCCTTACCTGGCAAACTTGCCCGCGAAGTTGCTTTTTTTCCACCCCCCCCCCCCCGACCATCAGCTGTTCTGCCGTGCTGGGAGATTTAGATTAGCTAGAAAACAGAAAACCATTGGATTTCTTGCTTTCTAGCTAATCTTTAGATCTTCGGCTGTGCTTTTAAGTAAGCCACCATCAGTCAAAATTCATATTAGTGGTCCCTGGGATTTAAAATTATGAGTTTGGTAATCCCTGAGGTCCCAAAGATTGGGGACCCCTGGTTTAGAAGGATCATTTCGGAAAGACATTGGAAGAGAACGTAAAGAACCACCGACTTCGGAACAACAGCAGTAAATCAAAATGACTAAATGTTTTTAAACTAAAATTGTGCTTAGCATTCACACCATTAACAACATCAAATATTAGTTCCTTTTCATACTTCTTTTCTATTTTGCTTGGCCTGCTAATGAGCTGTTAGCTGAATTACTAGTTACTATTGGAAATAGGTATCAAACCAGGCACATCACAGGAAGCTAAAATCATAAGACTACTTCTGATTTACTGTACTTTGGCCATGTTTTGCGTGTGAATTTGTTGGAGAGGGCAATGATGCCTTTGTTTCCCTTGCAAGAAGTATTATTCCTCTCTAAATAGAAATGAAATCCATGTATGTTCTTGTCTAGTCACTTCAAGCAAGCACCAACAGGATGGCCTTTAAGACCCTTTGGAGAATGTCCAATCTAAATGTAGTTTAGACCTTCAAGGGAAAGTTGCTTTGGAGCAATCACGAAGCACCCATTGATTTGTTTTCCCTAGATGGGTTTGATACACGGTGGGCTAACAGTAATTCCTTGCATTTACATCCTGTTCTTCAGCTAACGTTGCAAGCTCAAATAGAAGCACAAGGCAGAAAATGGCTTCAGTGTGCAACCTCCTGATGCGATGTTTTGTGGGTTTTGCTAGCATTCTGGTCCTGCCTTGGCTGTGGTTTGGGAATGAGGATCGGATGATTATCACGAGCAATGCTGGGCAAAGTATTTGAGAGGGGTGCTTTACAAAACGCCTTGAATGGAGTAAAATACTTCTTGAAGCAGGAAAGTAGATGTGGAAGTCTTGGCCCAACTGCTTCCAAGCCATGTCTTGCCTGTTGTTGGGTGAGCGTGCACACACACAGACAATACCGGGAATGCCAGCCAAGCAAAGTAAATCAGCTATGTGTGCACACAAATATAAGGAAGATTAAGAACAAAATGGGACAACTTGCCACAGCCAACTTGCCACGGGACAGTTCAACAATTCCATTTAAGTATTTAAAATAATTTAAAAAATTTTTTTTACACTTTTATTCACATTTCATTTTGTTCTTCTGGCACCCTTTATTAAATGATTCTATTCCACCATTTCTTGATATTAGTGTAACTCTTGTCCCATGGCAAGTTTCCTGTGGCAAGTTGGCTGCGGTGAAATGTCATGGCAAGTTGGCTGTGGTGAGTTGTCCTAGACCCAATTAAGAACGCTTTCAATGCAGCCAAGAATTTCGCAGTCAAAATTTCAGGAGCTGTTTGCACCCTTTTTTAAAGGGAAATGAAGTGAAGCTGATGATACAAATACGTCAAAACTTCACTGAAGTTCTACCCTGATCTACTCATCTCTGTCCCTTGATTCAGGAATGAAACATACAACCTTCAAATCCAATGACACCAGAAATGTGGAAGAAGAAAGAAGAACTGTTAATCTGCATTCCTTATCGAATTTATTGCAGTTAATCTGATCTGGTATCTAGAGCAGGTGCTTTTATCAGCGTCAGAGAAATGCCAAGGCCATCTGAAGGGTGTTGTTATCTGATAAACATGTCTTAAAAATATTTGTTAAAGTGGGGTTCTGAAAAAGTAGCCGTGTTAACAGTTTGTATTTCTAGTGCCAAAGCACCCTAGGAAAGTCACTTAGCTGAGATGGATGATGTACAAAATTTAGTAAACAAATAATTCATTTCTAAAAGTCGGGTTTGATGAGCACGGTTACTAAAAATGAGAAATGTATAGCATTGATGTATAGCACATTAACACAATCCATATTTATTCGTAATTGTCTATTGTGCACACAGAACAACAGGAATTTTAAGATTGGAGGATGAGAAAAAAATTGCAATCTAAAAATCATTTAGCGTAAAGGATCA